GCAACAGACAGTAAGTGCCGCCTATGCAAAGAAGCTGAAGAAACAGTGGACCACTGGTAAGCTGTTGCAAGAAGATTGCACAAACTGATTACAAGCAGCGGCATGACAAAGTAGCAACAATGGTGCATTGGAAGATCTGCAAAAAATACCATTTGCCTGTAAGCAAAAACTGGTGGGATCATAAAATAGAGAAAGTCATAGAAAATGATAAAATTAAACTGCTCTGGGACTTCAGAATTCAAACAGACAAGCACCTGCAACATAACACCCCAGACTTAACAATTGTCGATAAGAAAGACAAAAAAGTCTGGATAGTGGACGTGGCAGTGCCTGGAGATAGCAGAATAGAAGAGAAAGAACTGGAGAAGATAACAAAATACAAAGACCTACAAATAGAAATAGAAAGACTGTGGCAAAAGCAAGCAAGGGTAGTACCAATAGTCATAGGCTCCTTGGGTGCAATCCCAAAACAACTGGAGCACCACTTGAACACCATTGGCATTGACAAATTCGCTATTAGTCAATTGCAAAAGGCAGCCTTATTAGGAACTGCTTCCATCCTGCGACGATATCTGTAATACCATCAAACATCCACATCTGCCCTATCCCAGGTCCTGGGTAAGGACTCGATAGGTAGACAAATGCCAAATCCAGTCTGAACATCTGGCTGACTGTGCGATGATCGATAATAATAATAATAATAATAATAATAATAATATAATAATAATAATAATAATAGTCATAGGCGCCTTGGGTGCAATCCCAAAACACTGGAGCACCACTTGAAAACACCATTGGCATTGACAAATTTGCCATTAGTCAATTGCAAAAGACGGCCTTACTAGAACTGCTTCCATCCTGCGACGATACCTGTAATACCATCAAACATCCACATCTGCCTATCCCAGGTCCTGGGTAAGGACTCGATAGGTAGACAAAATGCCAAATCCAGTCTGAACATCTGGCTGACTGTGCGATGATCCATAATAATAATAATAATAATAATAATAAAGTTGGAAGGGACCTGGGAGATCATCTAGTCCAGCCCCCTGCTCAGGAAGGAAACCCTATACCATTTCGGACAAATGGCTGTCCAGTCTCTTCTTAAAAACTTCCAGTGTTGGAGCATTCACCATTTCTGGAGGCAGGTTGTTCCACTGGTTAATTGTTCTAACTGTCAGGAAATTTCTCCTTAGTTCTGGGTTGCTTCTCTCCTTGATTAGTTTCCATCCATTGTTTCTTGTCCTGCCTTCAGGTGCTTTGGAGAATAGCTTGACTCCCTCTTCTTTGTGGCAGCCCCTGAGATATTGGAAGACCGCTATCATGTCTCCCCTCGTCCTTCTCTTCATTAAACTAGACATATCCAATTCCAGCAGCCCTTCCTTATTATGTTTTAGCCTCCAGGCCCCTAATCATCTTTGTTGCTCTTCTCTGTACTCTTTCTAGAGTCTCAACATCTTTTTTACATCATGTTGACCAAAACTGGATGCAGTATTCCAAGTGTGGCCTTACCAAGGCATTGTAAAGTGGTATTAACCCTTCACGTAATCTTGATTCTATCCCTCTGTTAATGCAGCCCAGCACCATGTTGGCTTTTTTGGCAGCTGCAGCACATCTAATCGCCATTTACATCCTTCTCAAGGAGTTTCTGACCAGCAAAGGCAATGGGGGCAAGCCTTGTTCACTTTATGACCATGGTGATTCACTTAATAACCATGACAAAAATGCCACAAAATTGGACCCAATTCATTTAATGACTACATCTGACTCTAAAATTAGAGAAAATTTTCATTTCATTCCCTTTGAATCAACACTTTGTGGTACATATGCAGACTAAATAACTTTTACTTCTTTTGGAACTGTCAGCTATAGTTCTTAAACTAAAATGTATCTGTGAGACCCACATGGGGGAAAAAAAACCCATAGAAAACTGTGTATATATATATATATGTATATATTCATAGAATCATGAAAAAAAGGAAAATTCAGTATTGCGGAAAACTGATTCAAAAACTCCACGTTATCAGGCAAAACTCCAAAACAAGCACAGACCTGGAAAATGTGCAGCAAAATGGACAAATTAAGAGGCAAAGCATTTAAAAATGTCAAATTTACCAAATTTAAAAGGAAAAAAAAACAAACCCCAAAGTTACTTTTTCCTTTGGCAGGCGCAGAATTAAAAGGGTTCTTACTCAAAATGAGAATATTCAGTCTGTCACAGTCTTGATGTTGTACTTTAGAGTATTATTATTATTATTATTTAGAAACCTGCCAGAAATAGTCCATTTGCTGTGGATTTTTTTTAATGGGTCTGGAAAACTGCATGAATCCAAAGATTGCCATTCCTACCAGAAAAGTCATTTATAAATCAAAGACTTTTCCCTCCAAATCTGACTATAGTCTCCTCCATCACGTCCCAGCATGCATTTCTAGCCTGGAGTCCCCTGCTGATAGTTACCTGTTCCAATAGCTTTGAAAGGAAATCATAATTACTTTTCCAAAGATTGACTGTTTCTGCTAATAATTAAGTCAATGCAGATAACGGCAGTAATAAGCTACAGCATATTATCTGCAGGATGAGGGGACAGGGAGAATCTGTTTCCTTCCTCTTATCTACATTTCGCTTTTCAATTACTTTTATTTTCCTTTCCTGGTGACCTCCCCAAGAATTGCCTGGGGCTAAAATTTCTTTTTCTAATCACTCCTGTTAATTTGACATTTTAATTTTGTTTCCAGTCAGACATTATTAGTATTTAAACACATATATCTCAAGAGGACAGTTCCCCTGGGCTGTCAACTCTAATTAATGCCAATTCGTCAACCATCATCATTGTTTCATTGGAACTATATAGAGGTGGTGGTGGGGGGGTTTCAGAGCCACCTGACCAGATATCCAATACATCTTTACAGAAGGCCACCTGAAGAGACTAGAAGCATTTGAAATGTGGATTTACAGGCAGCTGTTACGTATAAGCTGGGTTGACAAGATCAGAAATGAGGGGGTGATAGGCCACCTGGGAAAGCCAAGGGAAATCACCAAAACAATTAAAAAATGAAAATTAGAATATTTTGGACATGTGATGCGACACCCAGAAAAACACCGCACACTCCATTTAATCCTCCAGGGAAAGATTGAAGGCAAACGAGGTCCAGGCAAAAGAAGAACATCATCGTGGCTTCAAAATCTAAGGGACTGGTTTGGACAAAACTGAGCAGCACTTTTTTGTGCGGCTGCTGATAAAAACAGGATCGCCAACATGATCGCCAACGTCCGATAATGGATATGGCAGAAGAAGGAGAAGGAGGAGGAGGAGGAGGAGGAGGAGGAGAAGAAGAAGAAGAAGAAGAAGAAGAAGAAGAAGAAGAAGAAGAAGAAGAAGAAGAAGAAAAGAAGAAGAAGAAGAAGAAGAAGAAGAAGAAGAAGAAGAAGAAGAAGAAGAAGAAGAAAAGAAGAAGAAGAAGAAGAAGAAGAAGAAGAAGAAGAAGAAGAAGAAGAAGAAGAAGAAGAAGAAGAAGAAGAAGAAGAAGCTCACTTATAGAATTCCATGTGTTTGTTGATTAAACTGCATTTTTAAAGGGAAAATCCAGCTGACTGTTCTTGAAAAGTATACACAATTCTACACAGAAGTTCACAGGTTCATCTCATATGTGCACTTTGGTTTGGTGTTATTGTCAGGCATGAAGAATCAGGATCACATATTAAGTTCCAGCTAAGCTGACTTATTGCTCATACCTATACATAAGAATCTAGTCAACTAATGGTCAGCACTAGATGCTAGATAAGAGTTAACAGCATTCAAGAGGGGCGGGACTTAGACCCTTTGTGGGAACATAATGATTCTAGGCTGATTCCTCTTTTGATTTCATCCCCAGGTTCTGCCTGTCCTACTCCTACAGTTATTGAAATTAAGTTTGAGCATCCGCCTCCTTTCTATCTTCCCAAATTCTTATCATCTCTGGACAAACCACAATATGTTGGATTATTTAAACCCAGCAATTAGGAACCTACAGAAACCATGGTTTGGGAGCTGGGACAAGGCAGCAATGGGTTTACAGCTGGTTCTCAAACTAATTTAAACATAAAATTAGAAGAATTGACACCAACGGCATGAAGAGAAACTTGAGTGGTGAGCAAACAGAAAAATATTTCTACTTCAAGGAAATTTTACTTTTAAAAAAGAAACAGACTGCATTTAGCTGAAGACCGGGATGGTGAAGGTGGAGAGTAGCAGAGGGCCAGTATGGGATTGATTAGTACCTGGCCTATTTGCTAAAAATAATGCAACTCTCTTTCTCCATCCTCCCAAGACAGAAGATGAAATGGTTGCCTGAAAAAGCATTGCACAGAGGATCAGTCTGGCAGAATGCCTACTGGTGTTGGATGGGGTGGTAACGAGAGAGGGTGGAAAGAAAAGAGATTTAAACGTTACTGTGGCTGCAACATTCCTGTCACCCTTGGTACCTTGTCTCTGGGCTCTAGAATGCATTTTCTGCCAAAATACAGCACATTGTATGAAGTTTTACAGCAGGAACAGGAAAACAGGCTTAGAGGTAGCCCTGTGCTTGTATTTATCCCCTTTGAAGAGCAAAGCAAGCAAACAGAATGCACACATTATATAGGCAGTCCTCAACTCCCAACAGTTTGTTTAGTAACTGTTCAAAGCTACAACAGCACTGAAAAAGTGCCTTATGAGTGTTTTTCCACACTTGTCACCGTTGCAGCATCCCCACAGTCACGTGATCAACACTCAGACACTTGGCATCAGTTGTAAGTCACTTTTTTTTAAAGAGAACTTGGAACGGTCACTAAACAAACTGTTACAAGTTGACTTATCGGTATTATGCGTCTCAATGGGATCTTATTTCTGAGGATTCTGCTGAGCCAGGGCCCAACTCTTTGATGAGTCACAACTCTTTGATGAATCCAGAATAAGGACTGGCACAAAAATGCACACTGTGCTGCCTCCACTGGTTCTACTTAAAGGGACGGATCAGATTACCTGGTTCCAAGAGATATTCATAGTCGTAGCCCAGTTCTTTGGATGAAATGAAGAAATCCCCGTTCCTATAGAGAGGAATGAAGGGGACCATGAAATATCCCCGGTTGTGTCCAATAGGAGCGTTGGCCTCGGGGTAGGCCTGAAGCAGATGTTTGTGTCTTCGGAGCCACTGTTCATAAATGCTGTGGGAGCAAAGTGTGGTATTAATAGTTCAGCAAAGGGAACAAGGATGCTTTTTCAAATCTAAAATACAGTAGAAATAAAGGTTCATGGGGTAGCTGGTCTTAGATTGCTCCAGAGGCAGGACATCAGCTGTGGCTTCAATGATAATGGCAAAAACCTGCACAGTCCACTGGAACACCAGAAGACAGAAATTCAGAAAGTCTTGGGCACAGGGGTACAGATGGTCCCCAACATAACAACCATAATGGGCCTGTCTAGTGATAGGATTCAAATATGTGAACCACCAGTTCTCTGTGTAGATGCCACTTCCAGAAGTCCATTCTGGGCCTGGGCAACAAAACATTAGCTACTGGTTCTGCTGAAGTGGTGCGAACCAGCTGAATCCCACCACTGGACCTGTCTATTATGATTGTACGTCATGATGGTCTTACGTCAGCTGAGTGACTCGACTTTATGACCTTTTTTGCAGTGGTTATTAAGTGAATATGGCAATCATCAAACTAACACAGCGATCATTAAATGAATGCCATGATCATTAAGCGGACCAATTATTCGCTATGGCAGTTTTGCGAAACTTGGAATTACGTTGTGGTTTTCAGCAAAACTGTCATGACATGTGGTCATGCGATTGTGAAGTTCTGCAAATGGGCATAAATGTGGTTGTGTTGCTGAGTGGCTGAGGTGTGATCATGTGTCTACTGGGGAAGGCAGCCATCAGAACTTTGGAAGTGAGTGGAAGCTCCCTTTTTCCAGCTAGGTCATAACTCTGAATATCGCCAAACATTCAAATAAACTCTACAGTCTAATCTGTGACTTACAATAGATTTACTGACCGTTCAAAGTTACAATGGCACTTAAAAGAGTGACTTATGATCATTTTTCACACTTAATGACCATTGCAGCATCCCTGTGGTCACATGATCAAAATTCAGACATTTGGCAACTGGCATGCATTTATGACGGTTGCAGTGTACCGGGGTCACGTGATTCCCCCTTTGCAACCTTCTGACCAGCAAAGTCAATGAGGAATCCAGATTTACTTAACAACCATGATACTAACTTAACAACTGCAGTGATTCATTTAACAACTATGGCAAGGAAAGTCGTAAAATGGAGCAAAACTCCCTTAGCAAATGTCTCGCTTAGCAACATGAATTTTGGGCTGAAGCTGAGGACCACCTGTATTGCTCTTAAGTGGGACGTTGCTGGGCTTCTTGTAAGCTACATTCATTTTGTCCCAATAAATCTTGTTAAAGTGACACTGTGAGATTTGTGCCTGGGAAAAGAATTACTTTTGGGCTGTGCCAAGGAACCTGACCGGTTGCCATGAATAATCATGAAGACAAAATAAAGCGAAGCCAACAGAAGCTGAAGAATTGCTTTAACTCTGCAACTGAAAGCGAACAAAGAAACAGCAATCATAGGATCCTTGGTGACTGCGCCTCGGGGACCCCAGTGAAAAGACCCTTGTGAAGTGTAGATGTGGAGAGTGCTTTTCTGCAGGATCACGGAAGAGAAGGCATAAAACTGTAAGGCAACTTCTTCAAATTGGGAAGGAATCTAACACAGTACCCAGAATGTCATGGATTCTTGACTTTGTGAAGTGTCTGCTTACTTCTGGAGTTACAGACAGATAACAGTTTCGAAAATGAAATGAGATAACCACAACACGTGAACAAACATTCATGGGTTTTTCGCCTTGTTTGGTATGGTTCAGATGAGCCCGTTCGCAGGTTCAGTATATGCACGGAAAATGGATGATGTGTGCCCATTTATTCTAACTTCCCATGAATTTTACACATCAGTGTGATCAATAAGTTCCTGATTGTACAGAAGCAGCGCAGGGACACCCAGCCGTACTAAATGTTTTCTGCTTTGTTTCAGTATTGTTCAGATGAGCCCATTCACATGTTCAATAAATGCACAGGAAGTATGTGCTCATTTATTCTACCTTCCCATGGGTTTTGCACATTACTGTGTTCAATAAGTTCCTGACTGTTTACAGCAGCCCTGTTTACACTTGCCATAAAGTGTAGCAGTGAGGGTTCTAAATTTCTCCCCTTCATTTAGTCAGTGCGCAGGCAAAGGACCATAAGTGAATCTGTTCACAGTAGTATTAGAGAGATTTAATAATAGCTGATGCATTCTGATGTCACAGAGTTTGGGGGAAATTGGATGAACTGATGCATAATCAGAGTATCGTGCACAATTTCTAAAGTCAAAAATTTATAAGGAATATCAAATAAGAGTTGGAGATGGAATCAATGTGAAGGCAAATTTTATCGTGTTTGGTGGACTGCCAAGAAGTATCAGATCAGATATAACAGAATAGTAGAGTTGGAAGGGATCTTGGAGGTCTTCTAGTCCAACCCCCTCCTCAAACAGGAGACCCTATACCATTTCAGACAAGGGGGTGTCCAGTCTCCTCTTAAAAGCCTCCAGTGATGGAGCATCTGAACCACACCAAAACAAGGCAAAAAACAAACAAACAAACAAACCCATGATTGTTTGTGCACATATTGTGGTTATCTCATTTCGTTTTTGAAACTGTTATCTGTGTGTAACCTCTGGAGGCAAGCAGTTCCACTTGTTAATTGTCCTCGGTGTTAGGCAAGTTTCTCTTTAATTCTAGTTTGTTTCTCTCCTTGATTAGTTTCCATCCATTGCTTCTTGTCCTGCCTTCTGGTACTTTGGCAGCCCCTTAGTTATTGGAACCCTGCTATCATGCCATCCTTAGTCCTTCTCTTCACTAGACTAGACATACCCAATTCCTGTAACAGTTCTTTATAAGTTTTAGCCTCCAGCCCTCTAATCATCTGTGTTGCTCTTCTCTGCACTCTTTCCAGAGTCTCAACAACATTTTTTATATCATGGTGACCCAAACTGGATGCCGTATTCCAAGTGTGGTGCTAACACTTCACATGATCTTGATTCTGCCCCTCGGTTAACGCAACCCTATTTTTGTGTTGCCTTTATTTGGCATCTGCTCCAATATATTGTTCGATTCAGAAGATACTAAAAATGGATTTAAAATGGAAACAAGGACATTTCCCTTTAGATATCATGGGTAAAGAGGCTGAAAGGAAACATTAAAATAATTTTGGGAACTGAGGTCCACCCATCTCATAGTTGCTAAGGTTGAGAAACATTACTTTAGTCTAGAGCAGTGGTTCTCAACCTTTTTAATGCTGCGACCCCCAACCGGTTGTAAGTCGAGGATTACTCAACCGGTCGTAAGTCGAGGACTACTCAACTGGTGCAGCACCGTTTGCAGAATGGGACTTTTGGCGGGCTCAGCAGGGCAGAGACAGCCTGGACAATTCCTATTGGCTGTTGAAAGCCAATAGAATTAGACTCTATTCAAGAGAGTCTATTCTATGGGCTTTCAAAAGCCAATAGAATAAAAGGGAGTAGCACAGCTAAGGAAAAGGGGGGGAAAATGGTGGACTGCGTTGTTTGGCGACCCCCGTGAAATGGTCGTTCGACCCCAAATGGGGTCCCGACCCACAGATTGAGAACCACTGGTCTAGAGCAGTGGTGGCGAACCTATGGCACGGGTGCCAGAGGTGGCACTCGGAGCCCTCTCTGTGGGCACGCGTGCCGTCGCCCCAGCCCCACCTCCCCCCATGGCCCCCTCCTCACCAGCAGCCTCCCTGGAGGAGAATCGCCCCTGGGTGCAGCCCACAAGGAGGAGCGCAGCCAAGGACATAACCGGGCAGCAGGGACACGACTCCGCCCTCGCACCCCATAGTGTGCAGATGATGCTCCGGGGTGTGGGCAGGGGGCGTGGCTGCCATGGTGCTGCAGGGCTGCCTTGGTGATCTGCTGCGGGCCATGGAGGCGGTGCATATCCCTGCGGGTGGGCGGGGCAGGGGGCGGGTGGGGTGGAGCAGGCAGGGTGGGAGGCGGAGCGGGGGTGGGGGGGTGGTCTCTAAAAGGTTCGCCATCCCTGGTTAGAGCCTGGGATGAATTTCTAGCCTCAAAATGAAAGGGGAATTGGGATTTTAGCCTTTGTTGCTATCTAACCTCTGTACTGCATTCCCAATTGTCTCAGAGCAAAACTAGCTACCTAAGGTGCAGACGATGGAAATTGCCCTTACCAAATTTTTAATGAGTAATTTGAACATCAAAGGGAATATTAATTAGTGAAACAGTTGCCACGATTGTCTTGTGATTTCCAGCTCAGCTCATTTTTCCAGACAGAATTTCTCTCTCACACTTCCATTTAGACCAGTGTTTCTCAACCTTGACAATTTTAAGGCATATGGACTTCAATTCCCAGAATTCCACAGCCAGCACTGCTGGCTGTGGAATTCTGGGAGTTGAAGTCCACATGCCTTAAAATTGTCAAGGTTGAGAAACACTGATTTAGACTTTCCCTGCTCCGGCTCCAGGCTGCTGGAAGGAGGATGTGAATTCTTCACGGTGAGAATTTATGAATCTAGGGCACGTGCTTTTCATTTAGCGTAAAGTAATCCTATTAGCCAATATAGGCTAAGGAGGTTTCTTTGCAGGAATGAAATTAATGTGCCTGCAAAACAAAATAAAATATATTTTAAATTTCATGAATTATTAACTCCGTAAAGCTTCACAAAAGCTGCATAAAAATAGATTGGATTTGTTAACTGAAAATGATAGTGTGGTTTTAAAAAAATCTTGCAGATCTGTTACTCCTGGCACTGCAATGAGGACTACTTAATGAAATGTGGAACTTTACGTTTTATGGATATCTCCCTACCCATCATGCCATTCCCACTGGGGATAACAACAAAGGAGCAAAAAGTAGCAACCCAAAGCAATTAGAGGCTATTTAAGGAAAACAAAATCTGATTTATGCCAGCCCCATTGACTATCATTCTTTGTACGGCCAGTCTTTATAACCCAGCTTAGCTTCCATCACATCCATACACTGCTTCAGTCACTGCATTTTGAGCTTTTTAATAGAAGAACTAAATTAAATTTTAAAGAGGTCAGAACTGATTATCAACCCATTTTGTCA